GAACAAGTACCCAGATGTACTTCTTCTGTCAACTCTGTCTCCACACCAATCAGAGTCTGAATAACTCAGAAGTTCTGACTCATTATTTCCTCCAGAGGGAAATAACACTCCATACTTCAGAGTTCCTTTGATATACCTCAGAATCCTGACAGCAGCTTGATAATGGGACCACTTAGGTTTACTCATGAACCTACTAACCATCCCAACTGAGTAGCAAATATCAGGTCTGGTATTGCACAGATACCTCAGAGAACCAACCAACTGTTTGAAGGTTGTAGCATCCACATCCTTTCCTTCAGAGTCTGAATCCAGTTTCTGATTTGTATCAGAAGGTGTGACAGCCATCTTACAATTCTTCAGATCAAATCTCTTCAGAAGTTCTAATTCATACTTGAGCTGATGCAAAATGATACCTTTCTCAGAATATCTGAACTCCATCCCTAGAAAGTATGTCATTTTGCCTAGATCAGTCATTTCAAATTCATTCATTAGAACCTTCTTGAACTTGGCTATCTCCTGTTCAGAACTTCCAGTCAATAGTATATCATCAACATATAAACATACCAGAGTCATATTGCCTTCAGAAGTATGCTGAACATAGACACCGTACTCCATCTCACATTTATGAAAGCCTTGCTTCTTGAAAAATGAATCAATCTTCTGATTCCAAGCTCTGGGCGCTTGTTTCAATCCATATAGAGCTTTGTATAATCTGTACACCATCCCTTCCTGATTCTTTTTCACAAATCCAGGAGGTTGTGACACGTAAACTTCTTCTTCTAATGGACCATTCAGAAATGCAGATTTTACATCTAAATGCATCAGAGGCCAATTCCTGTTAGCAGCTATTGCAATCACCATTCTGATTGTTTCATGTCTTGCTACAGGTGCAAACACTTCAGAATAATCCAGCCCAGGTTTCTGTAGAAATCCTCTGGCTACCAACCTTGCTTTATGTTTGCCAATTGAGCCATCTGGCTTTAACTTCTGCTTGAAAACCCATCTGACGCTGATGGCTTTCTTGTCTTTTGGAAGTTATGTCAGCTTCCAAGTCTTGTTTCTCTCTATAGCATCAAGTTCTTCTTTCATGGCCTTCAGCCAGAGCTTCTGCTTAAGAGCCTCCTCTGTACTTATAGGTTCAGAGTCTACTAACATGGCACACTGAATAACTTCTCCTTCAGAGTCTACTTCAGTGTCTTGCAGCATGTCAAATTCTGCAAATCTTCTGGGAACGCTTCTGATTCTTTGTGGTCTCTGAACTTGTTCAGAGTCTTGAGCTTCAGAGTTTCTAGTTTCAGATGATTGACCTCCAGAGCTTTGACCATCTTCAGAGTCTGGCATATTTTCAGAGTCTGAATTGCCACCAAGATCTGGATTGCCATCAGAGTCTGAATCATCAGAGTCTGGGTCATCTGGGTCACCTTCATCTTCTGAGTCTTCTTCAGAGTTTGAATCAGTATCAGAGTCAGAGTCAATATCAGGGTTTACTTCAACTTCAGAAATTCTTAACTCTGGCCTTTCTTCAGAGGTTCTAACATCAGAATCAGATTGAGACTTATCCCAATTCCAAACTTCTGATTCCTTCACAATCACATCTCTGCTGAATTCAATTTTATTGGTTTCTGGACAATAGAGCTTGTATGCACCTGTACTGTGGTACCATATCAGAATCATCACTTTGCTTCTATCATCCAGCTTCTGTCTTCTGGCTTCTGGAACATGTTTATAGCAAACAGAACCAAATACCTTCAGATGACTAACACTTTGCTTGTCTCCAGTCCACTTCTGCATAGGAACTATTTCCTTCAACTTCTTCGTAGGACATCTGTTGAGTACATACGTTGCAGTGGCAACAGCTTCTCCCCAAAGCTTCTGAGGAAGCTTCTTCTCCTTTAGCATGCTTCTCACCATATCAAGCAAAGTACGGTTTCTTCTTTCAGCAAGACCATTGTGTTGAGGGGTATAAGGAGCAGTAACCTCATGCTCAATTCCATTCTCCTCACAGAACTTCTGGAACTCTTTGGAGTTATACTCACCTCCACCATCAGTTCTAAGAATCTTCAACTTCTGACCACTCTGATTCTCAGCCTTCATTCTGAACTTCTTGAATTCATCAAACACCTCGTGTTTGAACTTAATAAGGGATACCCATGTCATTCTTGTGAATTCATCAACAAACAACACAAAGTATTTATTCCCTCCAATTGATGCTACTGGAAATGGACCACACACATCAGAGTGTACAACTCCCAAGGCATGTTTTGCTCTTGGAGCAACTTCTGATGCAAATGGCAATCTTGGTTGTTTTCCTTCCATGCAAACTTTGCATGACTTTTCAGGCTTCTTAATTGCAGGAATTCCATGTACCAATTTCTTTGAATTCAGATGTTGTAAGCTTCTGAAATTCAAATGACCAAATCTTCTGTGCCACAGCTCACTCTCCTTCTCAGTACTTGTTGCACTAAGACACTCTGAGTCTGCAGTTCTGACATTCACCTTGAATGTTCTATTCCTTCCCTGTTCTGACTCCATAATCAACTTCTGATTACAGTCATACAGCTTCAGAAGATTGTCCTTCATGGTAACTGAGAAACCTTTCTCAATTAATTGTCCCACACTCATCAGATTGCTTCTGATGCCAGGTACATACCACACATTCTGAATCAATGCTATTTTTCCATTGTTCAGAGTCACTCTGACATTTCCCATACCTTCTGCATTAAGGTATTTGTCATCAGCACATCTGATCTTTGTTCTCTTTTCAGAGTCAAAGTCAACCAGCCATTTCTTGTTTCCAGTAAGATGATTTGAACAGCCAGTGTCCATATACCACCAGTCTGTCAGATCATCAGATTCAGAGGCCATCAATAGCACAGATTCGTCATCAGAACTTCTGGCTATATTTGCTTCTTCTGATTTCTTCTCCTTGTTTGACCAACAATCTCTAGCAAAGTGACCAAACTTCTTACAACAGTAACATTGGATCTTCTTCTTGTCATACTTCTCTTTTCCCTTCTGAGCATTCTTTTGTCTATCAGAGGTTGAGGTTTCTGACTTCTTCTGATACCTCCTATCAGAAATTGCTTTCAGAGCCTGCTGCTCTACTTCCCTTTCAGAAGTTCTCTCAGTCAAACGCAACTCTTGCGCTTCTAAACTGCTCTGCAGCTCTTCAATTCTCATTGTGCTCAGATCTTTGGAATGTTCTATTGCTACCACAATATAATCAAATTGAGGAGTAAGGGATCTCAATACTTTCTCCATGATTGTTTCTTCAGAAAGAGTTTCTCCACATGCCTTCATCTCATTAGTGATCAGAATCACTCTGGAGATGTATTCAAAAACTTTCTCATTATTCTTCATGATGAGATTCTCATATTGCTTTCTCAAGGACTGAAGCTTCACCTTCTTCACTGATGCGTCACCACCATAACATCTCACCAGAGTGTCCCATGCAGCCTTTGCTGTTGTAGAGTCTGCAATCTTCTCAAACACGTTTACATCCACACATTGATGAATGAAGAACAATGCTTTCTGATCCTTCTTCCTTACTTCCTTCTGCGCGTTTTTCTGTTCATCGATTGCATCTGCTGCTACTGGAACATAACCATCAGTGACAAGATCTAGAACATCTTGAGCACCAAATAGTACACGCATTTGGATCATCCAACGATTCCAGTTTTTACCATCAAATACTGGAAGTTTGGTGTTCATGTTGCCGTTTCCGTTCATCTTCTACTTTGCACAATACACTCAGATTTCTCACACAGTGTTTCCCAACCCACAGAATAAAATTCTGATCAGATTTTGTTCAAGATTCAACACGAATCTAAGAATCAAAATCAAACACACAAAACCTCACGTTCACTCGTGTTTCCCGTGTTTCCCAATGAATCTGAACCGGAGCTCTAGATACCAATTGTTGGTGCAAAGATAGAATAATGAAAATAGGGAAATATTCTATTAAAGAGAATGACGGCAGAAGAAACAGGAATAAAAGTTACAATGATTGTCACCCTATTTATAAGCTAAAACTAGGGTTACTAGAATAAGATAAAATACTAAAATAGTACAACTAAATAAATATGAATTATTATTAATATTCTAATAATTCTCACTACATTGTTAAAACAAAATGCAAATGACAGTGAAAAAAGAGTGTAAAACAAAACATAAGTATAAATTCTAAAATCAAATATAGATAAATGAAAAAAAAATGGAGTAAGGGATAAAATAAAAAAAAGAGAAACAAATAAATGATCACAGTTGAAAATTTAAAAAAAGAATTAGAAATTTTTGTTAATTTAGAGTGTAACTAAACAAAATCAATAGTATTAATTTTAAAAAATAACAATATTTTTTAAATTTAAAGCATTAAATAGAAAAGGGAAAACCATATATAAAATTATATCATATAGTTAGTGGAATTCATGACAAAGAAAGCAATTATATATAAAATATAAATATATATTAATAGAATAATGTATCATCAATCCATTGTAGTCTAGTTGGTCAGGATACTCGGCTCTCACCCGAGAGATCCGGGTTCAAGTCCCTGCAACGGAATTTTTGTTATTTTCACAATACATATGCTACATGTATCATCACCGTGAAGAGTTTTGGCAAATAAAGGTTCATATCTCTTTCTCTTTAGCTTTTTCATCGATGATTTGTACAAGTAACTGTTGTCACCGTATGTCTTCCGTCTTGTCTCAATTCAAAACTATTAGGAAAGGCCTTAAACAATATATCTCCAAAATAACCAAAATATGGCCTAGACATTCAACCACATTCACATGACCTATGTTTGCAACCAAAAATTTCAAAATTTTGATTCATTTTGAATTTGTATGACAGTAAAGAATAACAACAATAGTATAGTTGCCATTGAATCTTTGAATAACTCTTAAATTGATACAACAAATGCAATTCTCACAACAAACACATGTGGCCTTCTAAGTGTCATGAATGAAAGTTACAAAAATGGCAAAGATTGCCGATGGTTAAAACTCGTACAACCGCAATTCAACCATCCCTTCTTTCCTTTTTGGTGAATACCAAGCAACAATCTTTCCCGACTCGAGAGACTCCAAGGAGTAATTCAAGCTGCAAATGAAATCTTCAACGAACACACCATGTTTCCTTGTAAAAGACTCAATCGCAATTCGTGAGTCTGCTCGAAACACAATCGGTCCCGCAACCTACAGTTTGACAATTAAAAAAAATTAAAATTATTTACCATTGCTTAAAACTTGCTCTGCTCTAATCAAGGAAAACATGTACCTGCTGTTGAAATATTAAGTTAAGCCGAGGCGAGGCTGACGGTTGATCATTAATGTTGTCACTAGAACTCTTGAAACCGTTAAAAATCTTCTTTGCAAGTCCTGAAGCTGAAGATATATCTAGACGAGCATCTACCCTGGTTAAATCCCGGTATTCCTTCGTGAATCTTCCATGCTGAAAAGTAAAGCAAACTGAACCAAACAAATCGGCATTAAATCGAGATCTCTGCTTTCTCTTTGTCACCGCTTGGTCTTCTCCCGAAGTGATACTGGAAGATTTCTTCCCATTCCAAAGCCAAGAAGCACAGGAGCTACCTAAGTATATTATGAAACATAACAAAAATAATCATAAGATAGTTGCATAATAATTAGCAACGATGAAAAATATGCGACGATAACAACATTAATCAAGAGAGTTTACCGATAATTCCAGATATTGCTGCATGAGGTTCCTTAAGTCGCACATCATATGGAGTTAAATCTTCGTCAAAGTCCTCATCAATCCCGATCTCAATGTTCTTCCATAAGTACTTGATCTTATTGCAAGTAACAGAAGCTTTGGCACATAACCCTGGCAGTAGAGACAATGGCGAGTCGCTATCAGTTGTGTCAAACGCCTGGGGATTTCCACCGTTCTTATGTATCCCAAAGCGGTATCGCAATCCAGAACTAGACACAAGGGACGATAAATCAATGGACACAGACTCAGGAACATCCCAATATCTTCCTTTGTGGTCAACAAACAATTGAGGCCATGCTGCCTCTACTGTAAGATCGTGATCAGGAAACTGCACGGAACATACAAATCATATTTAACATTTTGAGAATATAAGGGAATTCCAACATTTGTAACCGTCCATTAGATAATGAAAAACTAAGAAAGAGCAGTTAAGTTCGTGCCTCGTGAACAACCACGACTTTTTTGCGGCGCCGTTCTTTCTCACCATGGCCTTCTAAAGCAAATAGCACCGACGTTGAAGGAGAAATGGCGAACTGAGAGTTTAACCCGTATGAATAAAGAGACTTGTCAATGAAATGCTTTGCAACACTCTTAACCGTGGAGAGATTGAATTTAACAGCATTAGAAATCTCATTTTTTATATCAATTATCAGTTTCCTTGGACGGAATTGTCCAGTCACTGCAAGCCACCTATATTGATCATAATTAAGTTGAATGAGAACATTGAAGAGTTGACATTCATCTTGATGTTATATATAAACATAATCAATTCTTATCGAATGGCAGTAACACGACAACTTAAGTATAGAATTGAGCAAAAGTGCGAGAAATCTATGTTGTTAATCTCGGATTGCATTGTGCACCAACCTCTTAAAATGCTATAGCGGTATAATGACTGCTAGTCTGCTATTGCAAAGACTAAAAACCAGTGTAATAAAGTAAACATAAATCCTCAAAAGTAGACTAACACTCAAAAATAAAGAGAATATAGTACTTCATAGCTAACGAACCTAAAGTATGGAGTAATAAAACTTAAGTACAGAAGAAGAATACAACAGAACTGAACAAAAAGTTGGAAGAAGAGCAGAAGGATTATTTGTGAGCAAGAACATAACATTCCTCTTCAATGAATTCATGTTGAAATTTCTCCCCAACGGTTTTTCAAAAAATCATTTGAGGAATTTCTCCCCAAAACTCTAATAGCGGCTGCAATAGCAGTTTGAGGCCGTAATTAAGGCCGGTACAACCACCATTGTTGACCGTGACTCGCAGACCAATAGCACCGCTGTAGCAGAATAGCATAGTGATTGTAGGTTTCAGCGCGGTGCTATTGACAGTCCTACATCTGGTTTATGATTCAATTTGTAAACATATTACATAGGTTATCAAGAGCAAATCAAACAATGGTTTCACCCATTCAACAACAAACAATGTTTTAAAATAAAACAAAAACAAACAATTTTCTCAAGTGCTTCAAAAATATCCCATTAGAAATTGAAACCTGTGTTGTTCCTCCCATGGTTTTAAATTGCAGTCTGCAACCCCAATTGTGATGTTAATTAAAATCATGTTTCTTTAAGTATCTTCATCAAAACTCAAAATTTTAGACCCAAAACCGAGTCTAGTTCGTTTCTAATGAAAAATATTAATGAGTGCTTTTTAACTGTGTATTTCAATAACCTCCCAATTAAAATCCAGGTTGCAACAGCTGCAATGCACATCAGAGTAACCGCAATGATTTCAATCACCACACCCGCAACCGCAATTTAAAATCACGTTCCCTCCTTAAGCCATTCCATAACCAAAAAACTCAAATTTCAAAGAAGCATGAAAAAATAGATAATTCAAAGACATAGCATGAATGAAATTCCAATTAGCATAATTTTCAAATACATTGCATTCAATATAAAAACAAGATAGTAAAAATTTACCAATGCTTGCCAGTGAGGTCAAGGAGAAGCGACTGAAGTGAAAAGGAACCACATTCCTTACGAGGAGAAGGAGCCAATGAAGGCACAATAGTAAGAGGAACATAAGAAGTGAGTTCAGACAATTGTTGATGACGAAAGACTCTACTAGAGACGGAATTGTCAAGGGGAATTGGGTCACCGGAAACATGTTTGGCCCAACCGTCAAGGGTTTGAGGAGATGAAATGTTCAAATCCCAGAATGATGAATCAATGGCAGTTCGAAGCTTAGCCATTGATGTGTGAGAGACAACAACAGCAACAACTATGGAGTGAAAGGGTTTTGTTTTTATCTGTTTTCTTGGGGTTTAACTTCTCTGTTGCTTATCCACAAACAAAAATTTTCATTATTTTTTACTTTTCTTCACTTTTCAAATATTTAACGGCAGAAAAAATTACTTTGTCTATTTAAGAAAACAATAAAAATATATGAAAAAAACCACAAACTAATAAATTTAACATATTTTTTTACATAGAAAAGTGATAATAACCACTAACTTCTAATCTTTATAATGTTATTATGAGAGACAACACACTCTCTTTAATGATGTGCTTATCATTGAAAAAGTTAAAATGCAACTTTCATTTTTGATTTTTTATTATAAATATAAAAATTTATAGAATAAGGATTTAAAGAGTGTAAAAATATTAGATACAATAAAGATAAAATTATTCTTCCTAAGATATAATAGATACTCTCCTCATTCTCTTTTATAAGCAAATTTTGACTTATTAAATTTATTTAATAAATGATATATTTAGACTATATTTATATTCTTTTAACTTTATGGCTTTATGACGAAAAAACTTGAAATTTGGTGATAGAGAAGAAACATTTTGAATATATTTAGATCTAAAATACCATAATTAAATGTTAAATGGTAAATATAAATAATATTGAGCTTTACTATTTAATTAAATTATTACCTATATTTTATAAAATATATGTCATGAATTATAGTCTTTTAATTTTGTTTCTTAGTAGGGAAAAATCTAAAATTTTGTGATAGAGAAGAAAAATAAAATATATTTTTTTTTTACATCTATTATAGTCTATTGTGTTTGTTACTTAGAGATAAAATAACCTAAATTTTGTGATGGTGAAGAAAAATATTGAATATTTTTAGATGCAATATACCATAAATCAATATGAATATGTTGAATAGAAATAATTATTGAACTTGATTATTTAATTTTAAATATTATGCATATGTATAAATTATGGGTCATTCATTTATAGTCTTCTAACTTAATTTCCTTAAGGTGAAGAAAACTAAGCTTTGGTAATGGAGAATAAGCAAAATATAGAAGTGTTTTACATCTATTATACCATAATACAATGTGATTATGGTGAATAAAAATAATATTGAACTTGATTATTTAAATTTAATTATTTCCAATATATATATATATATATATATATATATATATATATATATATATATATATATATATATATATATATATATATATATATATATATATATATATATATATATATATATATATATATATATATATATATATATATATATATATATATATATATATATATATATATATATATATATATATATATATATATATATATATATATATATATATATATATATATATTACGGGTAATTCATTTATAGTTTTTTAACTTTGTTTCTTAATGATTGAGTAACCTAAAATATAGTAATGAAGAAAAAAAATATTAAAATTTTTAATATTTAATATACCACAATTCAATGTGAATTTGGTAAATATAAATAATTTAAAGCTTGAAAAAATTTAATTTTAATCAGTATCCGTATATATAAAATATGGTGCATTCATTTATTGTCTTTTAACTTTGTTGCTTTGGTGGTGAAGAAACCTAAAATTTGGTGACGGACAAGAAGTAAAATATTAAATTTTTTTACACATATTATACTATAATAAAATGGGAATATAGTGAATAAAAATAAAATTGAAGTTGAATATTTAACATTTTGTAGTCTCTTAAATTAGTTTCTTAGAGGTTAAGAAACCAAAAATATGGTGACGGAGAAGAAGTAAAATATAGAAATTGTTTACATATATTATGTTTTATAGACTTTTAACTCTGTGGCTTACATACGAAGAAAGATGAAATTTGGTGATGGAGAAGAAACATATTGAATATATTTACATCTATTTAACCATAATTCAATGTGAATTATGTTAAATATAAATGAATTCTAGCTTGATTATTTATTTTAATTATAACCTATTTTATAAAAAAATATATGTCATGAATTATAATCTTCTAACTTTGGTTTTAAGTGGGGAAAAACCTAAAATTTTGTGAGGGACTAGAAAAATCAAATATAATTAATTTTATTACATCTACTATAGTCTATTATGTTTTTTGCATAGTGATAAAAAACCTAAAACTTTGGGACGGTGAAGAAAAATATCTAATATTTTACGATGTAATATACCATAAGTCAATGTGAATACGATGAATATAAACAATATTGAGCTTGATTATTTAATTATAACTGTTACGCACATGTATAAATTATGGGGCATTCATTTGTAGTCTCTTAAATTAGTTTTTTAGAGGTTAAGAAACCAAAAATATGGAGACGGAGAAGAAGTAAAATTAAGAAAATATTTACATCTATTATGTTTTTTTACTCTTTTAACTATGTGGCTTACTGACGAAGAAAGATGAAATTTGGTGATGGAGAAGAAACATATTGAATATATTTACATCTATTTAACCATAATTCAATATGAGTTATGGTAAATATAAATGAATTCTACCTTGATTATTTATTTTATTTATTACCTATTTTATAAAAAAATATATGTCATGGATTATAGTCTTCTAACTTTGGTGTTTAGTGGGGAATAACCTAAAATTTTGTGATGGACTAGAAAAATCAAATATAATTAATTTTAATACATCTACTATAATCTATTATGTTTTTTGCATAGTGATAAAAAAACCTAAAACTTTGGGACGTTGAAGAAAAATATCTAATATTTTAATATGTAATATACCATAAGTCAATGTGAATACAATGAATATAAATAATATTGAGCTTGATTATTTAATTATAACTGTTACGCATATGTATATATAATGGGGCATTCATTTGTAGTCTCTTAAATTAGTTTCTTAGAGGTTAAGAAACCAAAAATATGGTGACGAAGAAGAAGTAAAATATAGAAATTGTTTACCTATATTAAATTTTATAGACTTTTAACTCTGTGGCTTACATACGAAGAAAGATGAAATTTGGTGATGGAGAAGAAACATATTGAATATATTTACATCTATTTAACCATAATTCAATGTGAATTATGTTAAATATAAGTGAATTCTAGCTTGATTATTTATTTTAACTATTACCTATTTTATAAAAAAATATATGTCTTGGATTATAGTCTTCTAACTTTGGTTTTTAGTGGGGAAAAACCTAAAATTTTAGGATGGACTAGAAAAATAAAATATAATTAATTGTTTTTCATCTACTATAGTCTATTATGTTTTTTGCATAGTGATAAAAAAACCTAAAACTTTGGGACGGTGAAGAAAAATATCTAATATTTTAAGATTTAATATACCATAAGTCAATGTGAATACGATGAATATAAAAAATATTGAGCTTGATTATTTAATTTTAATTGTCACTCATATGTATAAATATGGGGCATTCATTTGTAGTCTCTTAACTAAATTTCTTAGAGGTTAAGAAACCAAAATTTAGGTGACGGAGAAGAAGTAAAATATAGAAATTCTTTACATCTATTATTTTTTTAGTCTTTTAACTCTATGGCTTACTAACGATGAAAGATGAAATTTGGTGATGGAGAAGAAACATATTGAATATATTTACATCTATTTAACCATAATTTAATGTGAATTATGTTAAATATAAATGAATTCTATCTTGATTATTTATTTTAATTATTACCTATTTTATAAAAAAATATATGTCTTGGAGTATAGTCTTCTAACTTTGGTTTTTAGTGGGGAAAAACCTAAAATTTTATGATGGAGTAGAAAAATAAAATATAAACAATTTTAGTACATCTTCTATAGTATATTATGTTTTTTGCATAGTGATAAAAAACATAAAACTTTGGGACGGTGCAGAAAAATATCTAATATTTTACGATGTAATATACCATAAGTCAATGTGAATACGATGAATATAAACAATATTGAGCTTGATTATTTAATTATAAGTGTTACTCATATGTATAAATTATGGGGCATTCATTTGTAGTCTCTTAACTAAACTTCTTAGAGGTTAAGTAACCAAAATTTTTGTGACGGAGAAGAAGTAAAATATAGAAAATGTTTACATCTATTATGTTTTTTTTAGTCTTTTAACTATGTGGCTTACTGACGAAGAAAGATGAAATTTGGTGATGGAGAAGAAACATATTGAATATATTTACATCTATTTAACCATAATTCAATGTGAATTATGTTAAATATAAATGAATTCTAGCTTGATTATTATTTTAATTATTACCTATTTTATAAAAAAATATATGTCTTGGATTATAGTCTTCTAACTTTGGTTATTTAGTGGGGAAAAACCTATAATTTTGTGATGGACTAGAAAAAAAAATATAATTAATTTTATTACATCTACTATACTCTATTATGTTTTTTGCATAGTGATGAAAAAACCTAAAACTTTGGGACGGTGAAGAAAAATATCTAATATTTTAAGATTTAATATACCATAAGTCAATGTGAATACGATGAATATAAAAAATATTGAGCTTGATTATTTAATTTTAACTGTTACGCATATGTATAAATTATGGGGCATTCATTTGTAGTCTCTTAACTTAGTTTCTTAGAGGTTAAGAAACCAAAATTTTGGTGACGGAGAAGAAGTAAAATATAGAAATTGTTTACATCTATTATTTTTTTTTAGTCTTTTAACTCTATGGCTTACTGACGAAGAAAGATGAAATTTGGTGATGGAGAAGAAACATATTGAATATATTTACATCTATTTAACCATAATTCAATGTGAGTTATGTTAAATATAAATGAATTCTAGCTTGATTATTTATTTTAATTATTACCTATTTTATAAAAAAAATATATGTCATGGATTATAGTCTTCTAACTTTGGTTTTTGGTGGGGAAAAACCTAAAATTTTATGATGGACTAGAAAAATAAAATATAATTAATTTTTTTACATCTACTATAGTCTATTATGTTTCTTGAATAGTGATAAAAAAACCTAAAAC